AGACATTCAAATTTGTTACAATTTGGTAATCCTAAAAAAATTTTTTCTTTTAAATTAGTTGTTTATAGCAGCAATACTGTACAGTATACAGGGGTCCCTTGATTGTGTACATTAAAAGATATGCACTAATCAAAAACACATTAATCGAATATAAACAAAACTGACAAAATAGTTAACCATTTTCCACTTTAAAATTTTAGGAAATTTTTAATTAATTGGCAGCTATAAAAAAAAAAAAAAAAAAATCAATTTTCAATTACTGAAGAACGTTTTACTGCATTAATCAAGTATTATGTATGCACTAATCGAATTTTGGTCTAAAAAATTTCAGTGCACTAATCAAAAACTCATTAATCAAGAGATTCCTGTATGTTGATCTTTAACAATGCTGAACAAATTATCAGAAATAAATCATTTGAAGATTGCATAATTTGATGGACAGAAACAATCACAGTATTAAGGAATCATTTTACAGTCAATTATAACCAGATGCAATTCAAATAACATGCTTAAAGTGCAGGGTACATGTGTCCATCGGTTTTTCAATCTGAACCTCCTAAAGTAACAGGTAGTAACTATTGTAGTTACACGCAATTAAATATTATATAAATAACTCATTTAAAGTTAAATTTAAATACTGAACAGTGTGAAATGTTTAAAAAATAATTCTTTATTAAAGGTTTAACTTTAATTTTGCTTTTTGCTGCAATTGCAATTGATCCTATCTAATTAAACTATAATTCAAATTTAATCGAGACATGGTACATTCCTCATGTTTTGTTTTTTTTTCTTCTTTTTCTAGTAGGCGTACTGTGACATATTAGAAATATTACATAGTTCAGGTTCCCTAATGCCTTTTAAGAGTGACTTTATTTGACAGGATCACAAAGAATGGGGATTTAAAAAAAAAAAATAAAATAAAATAAAAATAATTTAGCACAAAATGTAAACAACCTATGGAAATTAGTTGCATATACGAAAGAAGATTATGACAAATTACGGTGTCAAATAAAGATAAAATAATTTTATTATTTCTAAAAATTCTTATAACTTTTACATACATAGGACACTGAAGGTAAAACGCTGAAAGCTCAAAAGCCCTCTGCAAGAGCTAACCTAAAGTATGCCCAAAGGGGCAGTTTCTAGTTATTTATATATATATATATATATATATATATATATATATATATAAAAAGGCAATTAATTTCAACCCAGTTTTTCAAATTAAAAAAAATATATTAAATATAACCAAGAAGCACTTCAATTTTCTATTTCATGCCATCTAAGTGTGTTAAATTACTGCTTGATTTTGTAGATAGTAATGTCTTGTAATAAAATGAAGTGTTCAAAAATCAATTTTAGAATTGCAGAAAATTATATTTAATGACCTAATTTCTGTCTTGGATGAGATAATGGCAAATCCAAAAAGTGCAAGCAATGGATGTCTTAAAAAAAAACATGAAATTATCATAAAATTTGATGTCAGTTTCTAGTATCTCTATGCCATGAGTTATGAGTGATTAAATCTTAAGCAATAATAAATTTAAAATAAACAAGAGTGAAACTGTTTTAAAAAGTGTGGTGGTTTGGGCGGGGGGGGGGGGTAGACATCCATGGAAGTTATAGAGAAACAGTTTATTTTAGCATACTAACTTTCAGATCACATTCTGAAATTATCTTCTAGGATATTTTCCATTTTTTTATAAAAATAAAATGAAAATATACTATTTCTACATTGAAGCCATAGTAATTTTAGTCTCAATTTTAACAATAGAATGAGAAAGAGAACCAGTCATAATAGGGGGTCTATTTTCAAATAGAGTAAAATTGGAAGGCATAAGGGTAACAAAAAAAATACAAAAAGACAAAAATATATTTTATGGTATGAATCAGATAACAAAGTAACTAACAGTAATGGGTACACAATGGGGTGTCGATAGGTTATTGTCCCAACCAAAAAATATATATATATATATATATATATATATATATAAAAATCTCTGATGGTTGGTCATTTGGAGAGATTTTAGGAAGTGGGCCAAACCAGGACCATTTCAGCACCCCCTCATTTATAAAACATGCCAGTCATTACTAAAATACTGTCTGGTTGCCAAATTAGATTATATTTTGAAATGAATCATACAGTTGAGGTTGCTATGTTTTTCTTTTCTTTTAATAAAGTGATATATGTAATTTAAAAAGGGCTACACGTGGGAATTCACTTACTATTCAGTTACAAAAAAGAGAGAGAGAGAGAGAGGAAATGTAGACAAACTTGTCTGCCAATCGATTTCAAAGATTAAACATTTACAAAAATTCAGAATGAGGAGTGGTAAAGCAATACTGTAAGTCATAGAAAAAAAAAATTATACCAACTAATACTAAAATAATATACACTAATAATATGTTTATATTATCATTGTTATGTCACTTGAGAAAAAATTGAAGGGAAAAAAAATACTGAAAAAGTTTAATGTCTTCCCTCTTGAATTGATAAATTAAAAATTAACAAAATATCATTTTTAGCCAATTATAAATTAGAAAATTAATTTTTAGGTGCACTTTTGTGCAGATTATTCTCTCTAAATTTCCATAATTAATCTGAGTTATCCAGTCTTTGGTAAACAGTTTAGTGCTTTTGGCAATTTTACTAATTATTCATTTTTGACATTGTTCAACTTAGTAGTGTCTATAAAAATCTTCTATTTCATTCACTTCACAACATTGTTTAAAATAATTACACAATTTATATCATCATGCTAAATTTACCTATTACTACATTACAGTTGCTATTGAAAACTACTTCTAATACATACACAGATATGCTTTCAATATAAGTATAATCTCATGTTAAAAATTTGCATACACAAAACAATGGAACATTATCAACACACAGATACAAATAAAAAAAAATTATTTGATATTTGGATCATCAAAGGATTGATATTATTTCACATCTTATTTTGTTTTTTAACTATATTATTGCTTATCAACATTTCAAAATATAAATAAATTTGCTAAATTTGTAAAACTGTTTCATCTTTCATTTTCCACAAACTTATTCCTCCTACAAAACTTAGATTCCTATCAATACTCCCTGACACTTGCTATCTCTATCAAACCCAGATATTTCATGATTATAGCTAAAGAACAAGGGAAATTATTTTTTGTAAAGGTTCCTTAGAAACAGCTAACAGAAATTTTAATTATCAATATTTGTACTGACAGTAGCCAGCAAATAGAAATTTAAAATGATAAAAAAAAAAAAAAAAAAGAGGAATCAAAGACCACTTCAAATACTAAAAAACTTGGTTTATTCATGTGCATGTAATCCTCATAAAAAGCAAAATTATAAAATGCTGCACAGAGGTGAACAGGTTTAGAAATTGAGTATAGTTACAATTCTTAAGATATTCTTTATTCTTGGCAGGGGAGGGAGGGTAAAATTAAATAAAACCTTAGGTTGAAAAGTAAAAAAGATATTGATGGAAATATATTAAAAGAAAGTAATTTTGAATAGAAATGCTTTGGTGAGGAAGCACAGGGTGTTTTCCATCTAAACTTTCAAACTGACACTTTGATGCTTGGTAAATGTATAGATTAGTTTTAGAAAAAATGTTTCCTTTTTTTTTTTTTCTTCTTTTAATCCATAATGTAGATGCAGAACATTGAGAATGGTGTACTGACAAACTGGAAGAAAATATCACAGTCAGTAATATATAAGACTAACAGGCAGTTTAATATTATGAACACAAATAGTAGCAAAAATTTTTTTTCTCTTCATAAACTGTAAAGTTCATATACTTTGCTATTAAAATGAATGCAGGTCAAAACCTCAATTAAAATATGAACTAAAACAATTCATATCCTGATAAGTGATCAACTTTTGATAAATATTATTCTTTTTTATTTTCATGTTTGCTTTCAATTATGGTTTACATATGATCTGAAAAAATATCGAGATACTTTTTTAGCCAACATATTGCAAAAGAAAAATTCTTTGAAAAATACATTGAAAAATCTGAAGCAAACAAAAAAAATACTCATTAAAAACTGTATGTGTGTGTGTGTGAGAGAAAGACTATTAAACAAAATTTACAAAAAATTCAAAATGTTAAGCTGATGAGAAATTTTGAGAGAAACAGAAAACAGTGAAGTAAAAAGTTACAATGTGAAAATAGTCTGATTAGAGAAAGAGCAAACAGTTTAAAATAACAAAAATGAAAAAAATATCAGAGGTGAGAAACTAAAAATGGGAAAGTGAAGGGAATGACAAAACAACGAAGAATATTGAGCAGAAGAGAGAAATAATAAACAGTAAAGAGAGAGAGAGAGAGGCAGTGTCATTACTTTGGGTACAACATCAACAATCAATCAACTAAGACAACACTACCACAAAATATAAAATTGAAGCCAAATTTCTAGGATGGGAACTTGGAAACAATGTTACTGGAAGATTACCATTGTAAAATTCTATTTGGACAGAGCCCATTATTATTATTCTACAAAACATGCAACTAGGGGGAAAGACCAAATCCAAATAATTAGTTTTTGAAAGCCTAGTGCAAACACTCACTTAATAAACCATGACAAACTCTTAAAGATAGACTGGAATTTGGTTTCTCTACAAGGATTAATTAATTCCCAGTTTAGATCAATACAATGTTATTGTTAGAAAAAATGAGATTGCAATCAATAAAATGAAGACATCTAAGATTTATACATTTATAAAAAAAAAAAAAAAAAAAATTAAAAATATTAAATATCATTTAATTTTATAAGTATGTAGGTATTTTCCTCTTGAACTATCAAACTGGCTGACTGAAATGAATTTATGGTGAAGAACTTGCATATAGGAACTTAAAGGTTCTAAATCTAAAGTTATGAAAGGGGGGGGGGGTGAACAAAAAACTACAGCATGAGATTTCACCATCATAAAAGAATGGCTAAAATAACCAATCATCCACTCAACAATGCTACCCAAAAAATAGATACGATACCTTTAGCCCCAAACCTGGGTACGCCGTTGATACCTAAAAAAAAAAAGTAGCCGTTATATAGACAAATTACTTAAACACTATGAAAAAAAAAAATGTTTATATTTAAAAAGGAAAAGAAAAAAAGATAACAATAGGACATAAAAATATTCCAAGAAACTGAAAGACAAATTAATTTGGTGACTTCCAAAACTTGAAAGCAACAAAAGGGTAAAGCAACAAAACAACTACATGACAAAAATAGAAGCTGGTCAAATGTCTTTGAAGGAAAGGAAGAGGAGGTGGAGACAGGAAGGAAGAAAAAAAAAAAAAAAAGTGAAAAATAAGAGTTGGATGAATTAAATATAATGGCAGACCGGTGAACTTGGAAATTAAATAAACACATATAGAGGAACATTTGACATGAATAACTATTTTTAAACTAACATTCATAAAAGAAACATTTGAAGTTTTTTTTTTTTTCGTTCTTTTTTTTTTTTTTTACTTCAACAATTTAAGATAATGATAAATAAATTTCTCAAATTAAAATAATTCATTTCATCAAAATGCACAAGTACTTTGAAAGAGACCAACTGATTTAGGCAAGAGGTTATTTGATTTATGCATAACATATTGAATCTTGTGAAGACACTAAAATGAGTCAATTGACCTTGTCTACAATAAGAGAAATAGAATAAAATAGTTATATGCATATGTGTGTGTGTCACTACAAAGTAAAAAAAAAAAAAAAATGAAACAAAATAGTAATGAGGTAATAATATTTCAGCTAATTTGATTTATAATAACCCAAAGTCATGTGTTATAGCAAAGTTACATAGGATAGAAATATCTTCATTGAAAATTTTAGATTATATTTTAGTACTCATCCTGAAGATAGAAAAGATTAAATCCTTACAAAAGTTAGCACTTCAAGCCCTCATTGATTTTTGAGAAACCAAATCTAAAGAGTATGAATTAAGAAATTAAAATAATTAATTTTACATTTTCCTACTAACATTTGGAAAACAAAATCCTAAAAGTCTCATTTTTAGTAATTAAAGTGAACATAATTTTTAATATTTTATATGAGCACAATTATCATACAAAATTTATGTAATTTTTCATGAAATATTATGTCCTAAAGCCTAATGAAGATATGAGATAAATTTAGCCAAGTTATGAAGATTGACAAATACTTCATGAAAACTGATAAAATTTTCAGCAAATTCAAACTGCTAAAATGATGAAACTAAGTTGTTCTAAAATAATGATGTCATTTTCCTTTTTAACAAGTGAATTTCAAATCAAAGTGCTTCTCATATGGCAATGATTTCAAAGACGATCTTATGAATATAATCTTACTAGTGAACTACTATGAAAAGGGATACAAAATTTATGTGGGGTAAACCATGACAGCCAGTACTGCTATTGACTAAACAACAGTCAAAAGTGTGTTATGCAAACAGGACAAATGATTTTAATCAAATTTTAAGAGAAAAAGTAGTCATGGATATTGATATCTATCTATAAAATTTTAATTTTTATAATTACTAAAAACAAAGGTGTAACTAAAAATAAACTAATGGGCTAAATAATGTATGGCTTCTTTCAAATCTATCAATAGGATTACAGGCATTTCCTGCCCTTTATTAAGAATCTGCAATTAATCCAGAGAATCTTGTAGGAATTTTGTTTAGTGAGCTACTGCAACAATTCTGTAAAACATTTTAGTGGCTCACCTAGGTTACGGAATGAGAGACAAATTACTTAAAAAAATAAATAAATAATAACAATTCCATCACATTAAAAGGTGGCATATGCCTTTAGAAATTTGTTAATGAATAGAAAATCAAGCTCATAATAATGGTAAATAATATATCAACTTCACTGGAGAGCCTAGAGAGGCAGTGAACCTGACCCATATTTGATCAGGAGAAATGCCAAAAAGATATTCAATCTTTCATTCTACGTGCAACATGAGCTTCTATAAAGTTCTATGCCATTTTCAGGATGAGGTTAAAAAAAAAAAAAAAAAACAGAATCTAATTTCAGAAAATCATATTTATTACAGATTCAAAGATGGCTGCTTCTTTCATTCTCTGAAAGCAAATTAATTACCCATCAAATGTTCTGTCCCTTTCCACAGCAGATCATGCACAAAATGAGAGAGAGAGAGAACTACATTAACAGGGTGATCAAAAGAAGTCTTCAATGCTTCACACATTTTTAAAAGCAAGATACTGTAATTAAATGCTTTTGAGCAAACATTAACTCCTACATATAAACATTTTTTATTGCACACCATATTATATATATTCAAACAGGATTGTCAGCATGATTTAGAATATTAAAATTTAGTAAGATTAATTTTGTTCTAAAATATTTGTGTGTCTAATGAACAAATCCAAGAAATTTTAATTCGGCATGATTTAAAAGATTCCAAAAAGAGAAGCAATCCAAAATTGATCACCAAGACTATATACAGGGAAAAAAAATAAATTTGATTTTCATTTCAAGATAGAGTACTGCCAATTTAGGGTGGGGATGAGAGGTTTAACATATTAAATTCTTTTAATTTTTTTCTTTTAAAGTAGAAACCCACAAAAAGATCTACTAGTTTAAATAACAATTCTCATCCTTTTGTGTGTGCACACACACATATTTTTATTTATATATATATATATATATATATATATATATATATTACACACACAGAGGATATGCCAGGTACTTGAGAAAACATCTTCAGAAATCCATAAGTAATCAACTTTAACTAAAAGTCTTGTTTCTTTTTTTCAGCCCTGCAAGACTCAATCAATGCAGGAGATGAAAAAGCATGCCATTCTAATTGCTTTAGCCACTGACCACATATATTGGGAGATTGCAGCCTTCTTTAAAAAACGCCAAGTCTTTTGTGTTTAAAAGAATTCCAAGCCTCTGGCTAGAATGTCTTCAGTGGCCAAAACAAACACTGTCAGGAATGTTGAGTTTGTCCAGCAAGTCCAGAGTATCATCAACAAGAACTCCAGATGATCAATAACAATCATTACCAATCAACTCCATGTGCCAGAATCAATAATCAGATGTGTGGTGCACAAAGAGATCAGGTACAAATCTTCCTATGTTATGAGGAGAGTGGTGTACCCAGGAAAACCATGTGATTTTTTGTCAAATTATTTGCTAAAACTTCAAGCATCCCAAGGAGCTGAACATGCTCTAGTTTTTCTTTGAGAAGAACTTTGTTTAAAATAAAATAAAAAAGTGAATGGAAAGAATGACAGCTTAACTGTGCACTAAATTTCCACTGTGTTATGTACAACAAGTTTCCATTGTGATGGTCTTGGTGTTTGTAAGCAATAAGAACCATGTCATGGCTCCTCACAATTCTTTAGGGTCAATGCTACTGCTTACATCAAGACAGTGGACACTGTTATGAAGCCATAGATTGAGGAAGTAACTAGAAAGACGTCATACATGTACCAACAGGTGACTTCTCCCTATCACACAGCTGGTATGACCCAGGAATGGCTGGCCAAACATTTTCATGATCATGTTACTCCTAACATTTGGCCTCACAGTCTTTGAATTTAAACCCTATAGATTATTATGTTTGGGGCATCATTGAGAGGGAAACCAACAAGCATGTCCACAATATGAAGGATTTGCTGAAGGCTTAAAGAACATCTGGTCAACTCCTGCAATCATTTCAGAAGCTGCATTGAGGCCATAACTGAAGGTGCTGGCAGTTATATTGAATACACTTGTGTTTTATGTACATAGTTAAGAACATATGTACTAACTTTTGTTGAAATTTTTTTTTTCTGCTAAATAATGATTATTGCAAATTAAAACTTGCTCTCAAATACCTAACAGTCTGTATATAAATCTCCAGTACCATTTATATTGATACAGAATACATTTTTCTCAGATAATTATATTAATTAGAGAATTATTTTAATATATTCAATATTAAACTTAGTGATGTTACATAATGCTTTCTTCAGATTCAATGAAAAAATACATTTTTGTTATATAATATACTGATAACTTTTAAAACTAACAGTTTATTTTTTATAAATGTTCTAAATATTTCTAATGATTAAAATGTCAGCATTAAAATGTATTTTGATAATTCCTAAAATTCTTAAAGGTTCTTTATAAATTTGAAAAACTATTCAAGTTTTTTTAACTTTGAATAATTTGTTATAATTTAAATATTTTAATACATAGGGAGATGTGTTGTTTGCCAGATTCTTGCAAGCCATAGGTATCACAATATATGTGAATAATGAACATACAAGAAACACTTTTTAGCATTGACAATTAATAGTAATCAATAATATTTTGGAAGCATGAAAACCACAACTCTTATGTTGGTAAACTGAATACTATGACTCAATATGCATTGGCTAATGCAAAATGACCTGATAACCTAATTCTATTTAAAAATTTGTTAATTTTTCATGAAGATTCAAGGAATGAATAAATTGTTATAGATTTGACATTTATTCCCATTGGACATTAAGCAAAAGTGAAAAGAATGAAAAAGATTATATAAAAATTGAAGATAGCACAAAATTTTTCATTGAAATGTTTTGCAGGTGCACTCAAAGTTTGCTTACTGCTAGTCTAGATGCTCTATACTTTAATAATTGAAACCCTATTACCATTTTAAAGCAAACTGTCAAAAGATTAATTTGTTTGTGGAACATTACATACATCAGGATTTATTGCTATAATATTATTGTTTTCATTAACATGCAGTGATTTTAAAATGAGATGCTTTAAACTATTTTTCATACATAAAATTCAATCAACTCAAAAGGTATAGAATATAAAATTGATTACCTCATTTAATTATTATTTGCTATGGTTATTGTTAAGTAGTTTATATTCAGTTATCCAACTGCTAATTCACAAGTAGCATCAGTATACTGCATTCTAGAATTTTTAATATACTGGTTGAAATGAAGAAAGAGAAAAAAATGGCAAAAACTTACATTAGCAAACCTTTGTGAAAGGTTAGAATTAAAGAACAACTGTATCTTTAAATCCTT